AAAACGCAAAGGCTCATGGGTAGACGCTTGTTTGTAAAGAATGACACGCTATGCCCATCTGACGCATGCGCAGGTGACGACTCCACCGCTTTAAACTGTAACTCCAAGAAATGATGTAATTTACTCCAATGGAAACACTGATTTCTAATCAATTTCAAACCGTACTATAGGAATATTCTTTGTACGTGAAAGAGTAACATGATACATTATAATTCATAGTAAGTGGTGTTATATTGATAATTGTGGTCATTTGCAGCTTTGGACGCAGGATTTGTCGGTTTATCACTTGCCTACTCCCTTAATTTAATAGGAGTCTTCCAGTGGTGTGTTCGAGCCAGTACTGATGTAGAGGGTCAGGTATGTGAACAAGCAATATATGTTATTTTATTTCTGAGGCCTGATCTTAATCTTGCACAGAAACAACACATTGCGACAGACGGACAGTGTCTGTCGTTTTCTACAAAAAAGCGTTTGCCCGGGAGGTCTTGTGTTTTAGCGCGCGTTGTTATCATCGCTTTCGACTCGATTCCCTCGCATGCGCGAGTGACGACCCCCCTCCCGGCTATAATTGTTCAAATATTTTAAATCATGTGGCAAAATAGCTGACATTGCTCTGACTATAGAATGACATAGTGCCTTAGACAACATTAGTTATAAACAGAGGGGTGAACGTATAGTGGTGATGTTGGCACAGCATCGATGTTTTGTAATTCATCAGTCGATAAACCCTTTATATGGTACATCACATACAAAGCAACAATACATACAATTAGATGTTAATTTTGAGGCGATTTTCACAGTTTTAGTACTCAAAGTTCCAAGTTTATTATTTTTTGTTTTAGTTTTTAGTTAAACTTTATTTACAAGCTTTCCGTGAAGCCTTGAAAACAGACGATATAAGTCCAAACTTGTATGCATTGCGCCTTGGCTTGGCACGTAATGCTTTCAATTTCCAGGGTCACGTTCATCTGTGTCTGCTGTTTTATTGAATGAATAAACATAATTATCCTCCACGACAGTACTACCTACATATATTTATTCGTTTACAAGATGTATATCGTTTTATGTGACAGATGATATCGGTGGAACGCATAATAGGATATACAAACCTGACGCCCGAATCCGACCCCAACGAAGAAACGCAACCGCCCATAGACTGGCCAAGTGATGGCGCCATTACATTCAGAGATGTGTCATACTCTTATAGCGAGGATGGTCCCTTGATATTAACTAATATTGGGTTCAGCATAAAACCAAAGGAGAAGGTAAACAATGTTAAGAATCATGTATTGTATCTCTACTAAGTATTGTTCATTGTTTCAAGTTATTTGTTTTATTACACTTTCTAATACTTGTATTCACCCGCAGGTTGGGGTTGTGGGACGAAGTGGCTCGGGTAAGAGCACAGTGATAGAAGCGTTGCTGCGCATGTCCAAACCCACAGGAGTTATTGCTATCGACGGAATTCCAACAACAAACGTTAAGGTTACAGAATTACGAAATAGAATTGCAGTGATTCCACAGGTAACTTCAAAAGTTAAAGGTGGTGGCGCCGCGTTCTGTTCGATATGAAATTCATAGCGACGCATACAAAGCGTATGTAATACATTGTTTACGTAAAATTTGAACGCACGCTCTGCAACAAACATCGCCCTTTAATATTTCGGTTAGAATATCACGAGAACGACGACTATGCGCAAATAACGAGGAGATAAAAAAAATCAGACAAACGATGAAAAGTTATTTAAAAAAATATCTAATTTTGCCTTAATTCAATCTATTAGGTACCAATGCTGTTTAGCGGAACATTGCGTATGAATCTTGATCCCTCCGAAGAATACGATGACGAACATTTGTGGAAGGTTATTGACCAGGTGAGTTTGACTGCTCCATCGATTTCTACCCTCCAGCAACAGCCCATAAATAAGTACGTACCTTAAAAACAACTTGAAAATATTGCATTTTAATAGGGAATAAACTGTTTTGCAGGTTGACCTACGTGACTTAGTGGTAGGAATGGGCGAAGAATTTGACAGTGAACTGTGTGAAGGTGGAAGTAATTTGAGTGTTGGGCAACGACAACTCGTATGTCTGGCACGTGCTATACTGCAAGGAACACGAATACTCGTGATTGATGAAGCCACAGCGAATGTAGACGCCACGTAAGTGATGTGTTATATCCCCTATAAACACGTGAACCTCGTGGTAGCACGTTTAGCCTGATAACGTGCGTGTTGCATCTCTCGTGTTATGTCTCGTATTATTGTGATCTTACTGAAATTGTCGTTCTTGGTTTACCTTGAAGACGACAGAAAACACATTAACTGTCTTGTGTCGTATATAACGGCTTACTTCTATATCAAGAATTCTACAAGCATCGACCAACGGCTTCGCAAGCACGTCACCAACGGCAAAATCTGTCGATGCTTGAAAAATGCTGCAATCTTTGTCGTTGACGAGGACGCCATATTATTATATTTATGTTTTTACAGGACCGATATGAAAATACAGAAGACTATACGTGATCAGTTCAAAGATTGTACAGTGCTTACAATAGCCCATCGTTTAAATACGATAATAGATTCTGATAGAATCATGGTAGGTGCATTTTACCTACTTATATATGACCTGAATTTAAAGGGAGGTGGTCGTCGCGCCGCCTGTTCAATACAGGACGCATAACGACGTAAACAACGCCTGTAAAATACATTGGTTGTTTACATGAAATTCGAACACGCGCTGCGCGACGACTAGCGCCCTTTAATAGGATGGCTTTTCTGTTTCCTGTTCATGTATTAAAGTTCGCTAAATCACGGTCTGTGGGGCACACACACATGGGAAAATTTAAAACATGTTTTGAGGAACAAATACAGTGCAAAACGATTATTGAGAAAAAGTCGATCATCTCTGTTATCAAGAGAATTAAAAACTGAAACAAGAACTTATATTCTGCACTAAACAGATGTTAAATCTCTGCGCTGTGGCGCACTCAAGGGAGAGCGGATCAGATCGCAGCACCCCGAGACAGTGTTCAGATTATATTACACAGCATTGGGAGGGAGGGAGGAAAATGCCACATATCGTTGTCAGGGTTACTACGTATCACGACGATAACGACATCATATTCAGTGATAACACACAACGCAGCGTTTATGTAAATAACAATATTAAATCCAAAACGTGAAATGACTTATAATAGTGAGAAACACGTGTTTACAATGTGAGAAGTTCTAGATCTCGAGGCGTAAAATAAACTATATCTCCGTTAGTTTTCTTATCAACTAACTAGATGGACATGTTGTGATGCATAAATAACCTTCCTCATGACCGTGATAGAAAGCAATTGATAAAACCAATCAATGTGTACCGAACTAGCCGATAACAAATTTGAAGATTTGTTCCTATACTGCTATAAGTTGACGACTAGAATAATGCCTTAGATGTCATTAATACCCATACCTGTCATTGATTGTACGTGGCATTATTATCTGTATGTGTGAATAATGCCGTATATATCATTATTACATATACCTGTCATTGTTTTTACGTGTCATTACTATCTGTATGTGTGTGTAAATAATGCCTTATTTGTCATAATTACCTATACCTGTCATTGATTGTATGTGTCATTATTATCTGTATGTGTGAATAATGCCGTATATGTCACTATTACCTATACCTGTCATTGATTGTAAGTGTTTTATTACCTGTATGTGTGAATACTGCCGTATATGTCATTATTACATATACCTGTCATTGATTTTACGTGTCATTATTATCTGTATGTGTGAATAATGCCTTATTTGTCATTATTACCTATATCTGTCATTGATTGTAAGTGTTTTATTACCTGTACGTGTGAATAATGCCTTGTATGTCATTATTACATATACCTGTCATTGATTGTAAGTGTTTTATTACCTGTATGTTTGAATAATGTCGTATATGTCATTATTACCTATACCTGTCATTGATTGTACGTGTCATTATTATCTGTATGTGTGAATAATGCCTTATTTGTCATTATTACCTGTACCTGTCATTGATTGTAAGTGTTTTATTACCTGTACGTGTGAATAATGCCTTGTATGTCATTATTACATATACCTGTCATTGATTGTATGTGTCATTACTATCTGTATGTGTGAATAATATCTTATTTGTCATTATTACCTATACCTGTCATTGATTGTAAGTGTTTTATTACCTGTACGTGTGAATAATGCCTTGTATGTCATTATTACATTTACCTGTCATTGATTTTACGTGGCATTATTATCTGTATGTGTGAATAATGTCGTATATGTCATTTTTACCTATACCTGTCATTGATTGTATGTGTCATTACTATCTGTATGTGTGAATAATGCCTTATATGTCATTATTACTATACCTGTCATTGATTGTACGTGTCATTACTATCTGTATGTGTGAATAATGCCTTATTTGTCATTATTACCTATACCTGTCATTGATTGTAAGTATTTTATTACCTGTATGTGTCGATATTACTCATGTATGTTATTACTTTGCGTGTCATTATAAGCCGTACGTGTAATTGTTATATATTTATAAGTCATTATTTGCCATATATGTGTCAATATTTCGTTCATCTTTTTTTTTACATACCTTATCAACAGGTAGTGCAAACTGGCAACGTAATAGAGTTCGACGAACCTCTCAAATTGATGGAAAAAGAAGAAGGCGTATTCTGTAGCATGGTAACTGCATCCAAAATGAGCAGTAAGATAAAATCAAAATTAAGACAACATGAACATAGAAAAGTGAATGAAGAACAAAAACATTCAGAAAGCAAAGAACATGAAAACAACACTGATATTCCAAACGGCGGTGCTTCAGTTGATGTAACAAGAAGTGGTTCTACTGACACTACAGGGCTGGACAATGACACGATAGTCTGATACCTCCCAGTAGAAGTGCCTGTCGTCGTTCAACTAGCGGTGCATCTGTACTCGATGGAAAGGCACCAGTGCGGACATTGACAAATGACCACAAGCAGTGCAATGGACCAGTGAGTTATTTGAAAGAACTAACGCTGTGTCGTCGGAGAGGGAGAGGCGTCAAACCGTTGATCATTTGAGTTTGGGACACAGACTTTATTAAGCTAAATATGTATATATTATACAGTTATTTTTTTGTATCAGTACATACACGGACTTGATAATATTATATTTACTCAGTCTTCGCAATATACACTATATATTTCGTACAGTAACGGGTTTTTTTTTAATAATCAAGCATATTGGCAATAAGTATTAGGTCTATCTTTATATATTGTTCATTTTATTAACATATCCATTTACTAAAAGCAATTATTGATCTTTTGATTCGCTTTTGCGTTTTATTGTGTGTTTGTGTTTGTGTGCGTTTCCGTGCATATATCAGGCCAAGTTGAATGTTCGACAAGCCATTATTAGCTTTCGTTCGGACGAAATCCTAAAACGTGGATTGACCTCCTGGTGTCCGTCCGTGCGTCGCCACTTGTATATTAGGCATGCTTCATACATTTTAGGAGACATATGTACGTCAATTCGTTTCACGATCTGGTCGAAATGGCGGGACTGCGACCATTTTTATGCTTAAAATTCATCAAAGTCAACCATTTCTGCCATTCCAGAGCCAGATTTCGATTGTGTATTGATTGACTTCATTCATACTTGGTACAGATATTGGACATAATTAGACCTTGATGCTCATCCTATTGTTTTTCAGATCGAATTTAAAATTGCCGACTGGCGGCCATTTTTTTATAAAAAACAATGTTCCGGGCCCATTTCTCGGACAGACATTTCAAGTATTTCTGCTATTCTGAAACAAAAATGGTGTTCGAGGGTTACGACACTGATAGTCTAGACTGATTGCAGTTAAACCTTAAAACTACACGGTGCAGCATGTTACACTCACTAAACATGAATTCATTTCAAGTTCCAATTCAAAATCGCTGACTCATTTCACTGTTGTTTACTATTGAAGGCTATCATGTCCCAGGTCAATTGTATACGCCTTACTTGAATCGTTCATTGTACATGGACTGTGGGCATCATTAAATATGCACGCAAAAACATGTAAACCGAGACCCAGATTATATATGACATTTCTTTGTCATTGAGCAGATACTGTTTTCGTGTTGCGTAAATAGTGCCTAGACTACTTTAAATTCTCCGAATTAAAAGCAGACCCCGAATATATTATTTAGCTCAATATATGGAAACCGTGTGCTAAATGGTTTATTTCCTCAAAGGAGATTAATTTTTCAACAGTTGCAGTGTCGAATTAAACACTAACTTGCTCAAATGAATGACGTAATCCACTTTGACAGGTTCCAGTAATAGCGACAAATTTGTGAAATATTAATAAATAACTTATATTCCTTTAATGTTTGTAACTTAAGATTAGAGATATGATAGCATCCATTATCACAGCAGTCAAAGCTGACGTCAGCGCGTCATTGAAGATATTCACTTTAAATAATTTATTATTGTACTTTATCAATCCTTGTCTGCCATGAGCTGAAAACGGCGCGTTTCGGTCATTTGTTAAAACCCGCTTTTATCAAGAACACATGTTTCTGGGCATGGTATGATGCCATGGTCTAGCTGTTGTTTATGCACCTCTAAGTCACACACAATGGGACGATTTACCGAAATTATTTTTCGTGCCTCGGTGTGTTTTTTCGGACTAGTATTTTTGAACCTTCAGTATATACGCATCCGATTTGTTATAGGTGTACGTGTGTACATTTTGTCATGCCGTTTAAAAAAACAGTTTGTGACAAAATGGGAACTATTGGTCCATACTTCTAAATTAATATGCGTCATACATTTACCGCGTTCCGTTTTCGGGCAACCGTCTTAGCCACAGCTCCTCTATCCCCGGCCTAAAAGCAAAATGCAATATGCTGTACACATGCTCTGAGCGGTTAAATACATTGTTAACATACACTTCTGATAAGTATTTCGGAAGTTACACCATCTGTGACGTGACCCAAAATAGGCGTGCATGATACTAACTTACAAAGTTTAGTATCAGTGCGCATGCGTCGTAAGTCATAATAAAACCAAGCGAGCCTGGAATATAGAAGTCATTTAGGAATTTATTGTGGATTTAGTGAAGTATAATATCAATATTAGCATAAACATCAAAACAATCTGCCTAATAACAAATATGCAGGACAAAATCATTCTGCCAACAATTATCCCATCTTTAAGACATCGTCATTTTGACTTTATGGACGTTTTTAGTATCTTAAAATGAAAACGATATTCAACAAGCCGACCAATTTAACTACACATTGAATTTTTCAAAATGAAATATTTGCCGTTGTTTCACAAAATATAACAGGAACAGAAACATTTGATACGTTCATAATGTCGGCGATATGAACGTCATCGCATATTGAAAAGAAATAGTTCATAGTTCCTAAAAAAGTTAACAACATGCAGAATAACTGTAAAAATGAGAAATGATTGAAACCAATTCGTTTTATTCTTGCAAAAACAACGTTAAAATCTCGACCAAACTACTGTGAAAGTGTCTCTGTATTATAAGAATGTCATCGAAATTTTACATATTTATTTTCTCTCTAGTTTAATTCATGTTGCATTATGGGTATCAAGTGATGATATTGTTATTCATATCCACTGACGTTTACGTTAGTTATTGTCAAACTGGTTTATAGATGATTATTTAGACTTTCATCGCCCTCTTTCGTCTCCTAGCGATGGTGCGCTTCCGTTTCATCCAAATGAATTACTGGATAAAAGCAAGGTGGAATCACTGGCAGTTTATTAGTGTTGTAATTCGTCATTTAGAATATAGTCACATTATTAAAAAGAGTATTTGTTTGAGTATACGATTACAAGTCTAAACAACATCGCCTTTCTTTTCACTCATTTTGTCACCGATGATCCTAGTTCGATCTTTTGTCGGTTTGTCTGTTAATAAGATAACTAAGAAAGATGAATTCTCATAAATAAAGAGGGTTGCATTGGATACAAAAACGAACCTTTTGATTTTTGGTGCAACAATAGACAATAGGTTGCCAAGGAAACGGCAATTTCGTGAATGATTTTTCATTTATAACATAAAAAGTTATAAATGGATTCTTTTCATGGAGAGGTTGGCCATTTTTGCAAGCACGAATCAATGTAATGTAACTCCAAAGGTTACCAATGGATTCCCATGAAAAAAAGAATAGTCAATTAGATTGAGGTAGAAATGTGGGTTTAGTTGCCGTGGTAACAAACATTTTGGGAATAAGTTTAAATTCAGCAACTTATGGATGAATTTACATACAATTTTCAGAAAGGGGTCGCCCTTCCTATGGACCAAGCGTTTAGATTTGGTAAATATTCAAATGTGGCTACCATGAAAACAACTATTTCCTGAATTATTTTTCATTTATAACTCAAACAATAATAAACGGATTTTCAAAAACAAACATTCTAGAAAGGACACCCCTGATGCAATGATTAATCCATTAAATGTCGATAGAGATGTGGATGTGGTTGCCATAGAAACAACAGTTGAAGTAATAGTGGTATACATATAGTACATATACTATCTGAATCAACTGAGTTGTTTTAATTGCCAATGAATCCAATAATGTATACTAAGTGAAAGTAAGGGAAATGATTTTAAGTGTAAGTCATATAATTAATGTGGGTAACGAGCTGATTGGCGAGGTCTGCACGTTCTAAGTACTTTTGGTTATTTTATATATATTTTAATTTAGTTTATTATTTATTTGATAGTAGTCCTTTGAATGTTGTTGTAATCATGAAAACACAAAATGTGATGCATGTAATAAAACATATAATAATAAAAAATAAAAAAGTACATGCCATACATTACATTAATCAGAGTGCAAACAATCCATCTCAAATCCGAGTAAAATTGAGTGTACCCAAATTATTGTGCTCGCTGCCTAGAGCGTACATTGTACTTATTTAGAATGAACCGGCAATGTTGTATTAGCGTAACATACAGTCCAATCATGTTTCATTGTGGAAAGTGTAGACCCATTAGTGCTTCGCTAAATTACACAACATAGTGAAGTATATCTTTATAAGACTTAAACAGAAAATACAATAACAATTCAAACGCAGTTGGATTCCCGGGAGTTTGCATAATTTCGTCTAAGTACACAGCTGTTCTTTCGATGTCAGTTCTTTAGAGTGTCTTTTTGTTGTATAATCGATGAGGTTTTCAGACTAAAATGCTTTCTGTGTTGGCACTATGCATACAGGCATGGTAAATATATCACTAGCGTGCTAATTTGTCAAATTCACATTTAGCAACTCTGATTTATCAACGCCTGAAGAGACTCAACTAAATTACTAAAAGTGATTCCAACTAGTACGGTGTTTTAATTGCACACGGGTCGAAAATGCACAATATGAATGGCAAGGAACGGTGTGTATTTAATTCGTTCACTACCCCGTGTTTCCAAAATACGTATAATAGTCCCGAGTCAGACAACATATATTCGAACTCCCAGCACTGGAATGCGAGGAGATCTCATAAATGTGTTCCTCTATGTAATTCGTGACGCGAGTTACGAGTCATCAGCCTCGTTCTAGTAATCGGATATAAAACGTATTTTACTTTTAATAATAATCCATTTATGTACATAAACCAATGATTCGGACTGTGTTGACTTTAAGGTGGCATACATGTATATCATTTCAAACATAACATTTTTATATTCTAGAATTCAACAGAGTGAGCGGGAGAGGGTCTATTCGAGGGTCTTTCACTGAAAACCGCACAAAACCGGATTAAAAAGCGTGGAAATTTACATACCATATGTCGAACAAAATGCGGTAAGAAATAAATCAACCCATTTTAATGTTAGAATTTAAATTGATCTAAAACATGGTCTGCTTTTGTGGTTATTTGAACCTCCTATTCAACAGGTCATAACGTAAATCAGCACGTAAATCGTATGTCACTGGTGACATTTTGGAAATATCTGAGCGATGATTCAAATAGAACATCTAAGCACCAAAACCAAACACTAGTACCATGCAGGCGCTGTATATACGTATTGATCCAATTTACGAGTGAGAAGCAGACCAATTCACACACACACAACTGTGATAAATCCGTATTTATCGACAATTCTTGATAGAATTTTTTTCACAAAATCTTCTTTTTCTAACTCCTGGAGTTATATTGAGAAAAATTCCATAATTATTCCATGGTTACAATTCTATTGTAAGTCGTTTTTTTTTTCAGAATTGTAAAATTTCTCTTACGATTTTTGTACAAAGATCTATATGGTTTGATATGCTATTTTCATTTCGTCGTGCCATAGACCCTTGTCAATACCAAATGAAAACACAAAAGATGTTACAGCCTAAACACATGTCAAACGCACTTAAGACATGTAAAAACACTTAGACAGCTGTGAGATTAGTTCGCATTAAAAAAACTAATTCGATTCTAGCTATCTGTATACATATCAGCCTGTATTTACATTGCCGGACACATTGCTCATCGTCTTTTAATGTGCGTTTTATAATTCATGTTATCTGCACTGTCTGTGCGTACTTAAACATGATTGCTTCGTATTTTAGCGCGAATTAAGTGAACGTCGTCATGAAAGCCGAAGCCCTGAAGATAAGGTAAGGAAGTTACGAGAAGGAAAAAACACTTATTCAAAACCGTCGTGCCATGGTCAAAAAAGGTCGTTTTAAAGTAAAACTTGAATATTAATAACAATATAACTGAACTTTGGACGAAGCGAAAAATTGACCAGCCTTTCGCGATTATTCCAATGTGGAATACAAAGTTGTCAATCCGAATTGTATTCACGTCATAAAATTGGGTATTTCACGACCATCATAATGTAGGTTTTCTGCACCGACTTCGTACCGCCCACGACTCCGCCCTTATTGGTGCGACATAACACGGTGTCTGCACCGAATTCGTGCCGTCCACAACTCCACTCATATGGTGCGACATAACACGGGGTGTCTGCACCGACTTCGTGCCGTCCACGACTCCACTCGTATGGTGCGACATAACACGGGGTGTCTGCACCGACTTCGTACTGTCCAGGACTCCGCCCTTATTGGTGCGACATAACACAGAGTGTCTGCACCGACTTCGTACCGTGCACAACCTCACCGTATGATGCGACGTACTGAGCAGTACTACTTGTTCAACGAAAGTGTGACTTCTACAATTGCTGACAGTAAGCGGGTTCTGGCAGTGCTGCACACAGATTCGAATTTACGACGCCACGAGAAGTATCCATTACTCCGAACTTATTGCCTCAGGCATTTACGACAGAACTTAAATATATATCAGTTTGCATTATCATTTGGATGCTAGTTAGTTGAGAATACGAATATTTTGAAAATAAAAATTATTATAGAATTGTTATTTACAATATTGATGATTATTATTACTAATTACTAAATGAGACTTTTTAATTTGTACATGTATAAGCATTTTATTATTTGTGCAATAATTTAATAACCCACCAAACAATTATGGGTAATTATTATCCCATAAAATATTATTTGATATCAGTAAATAATAAAGGCATAAAATTGCCTCGTCAACTTAAAAAAATAAATTTATTCTTGTTTGTGGTCAATTTAGACGGCTAATTTACATATTCACATTTAATAAAACATGTTTTTTGGAATGCAAACAATATACTGATTTGGCAAAGTTTTGTTTCACTGAGGTAACTGTTTCCTATGTCCATTAACAAACGCATTAACGCACTCGCATATACTAGTATAACACGAGTTTTCATTTAAAAATATGTGTGTAACACGAGACGTATTAGTTACAGAACATCCATTATGTACTTCGCTTTGTATTCATATGCCAAATATTAGCAAGAATGCACATTTTGTTAAAACAGCAAAAAATGAATTCTAACGATAATGTACATAGTTAACAACTGCTTTGCGAAAACACAGTTTGGTATTTTAAAAGTAACATTATGATAATGTTCAGATATGTAATGCGTCGAAAAGTTTGAAAGTAACATGATATTTTTCTAATTTGTAATGCGTCACATAGTTTGAAAATAACATGCGATTTTTTCAAATTTGTAATGCGTCACAAAGTTTGAAAGTAACTTGAGATTTTCTAATTTGTAATGCGTCACAAAGTTTGAAAGTAACACGAGATTTTCTAATTTGTAAAGCGTCACAAAGTTTGAAAGTAACATGAGATTTTCCAATTTGTAATGCGTCACAAAGTTTGAAAGTAACACGAAATTTTCTAATTTGTAATGCGTCACAAAGTTTGAAAGTAACATGAGATTTTCTAATTTATAGTGCGTCACACAGTTTGAAAGTAACATGACATTTTTCAAATTTGTAATGCGTCACACAGTTTGAAAGTAACATGAGATTTTTCTAAATTTGTAATGTGTCATATAGTTTGAAAGTAACATGGGATTTTTCAAATTTGTAATGCGTTACAAAGTTTGAAAGTAACATGAGATTTTGCAAATTTGTAATGTGTCATATAGTTTGAAAGTAACATGGGATTTTTTAAATTTGTAATGCGTTACAAAGTTTGAAAGTAACATGGG